CGTTACACACTGTTTGTCCTGCAGGGTTTCTCCTCCACAGTGTCGTAGTTTCTGTGTCACAGTTCACACACTGACTTCCTCTTCGCTGAGTCACCACCTGAAAACACCGAAACATTAAAACATCTGACATCACAACCACCGTTAGCCTAGCTTAGCACAGTGTGTGTGTGTGTGTGTGTGTGTGTTGTACACTTCTTCTCTTTGGTCTCAGCAGGGGTCTGTTGCTGACTTCCTGTTGGATGCTGCAGGTGTTACACAGGTAATTACCAGCAGCGTCTCTTCTCCACAGGGGGGCACTGTTGATCTCACAACTCACACACTCACGCTGTTCTAAACAAACACACACACACACACACACACACACACACAAACATGAGTCATCCTCCGACACAGCAGACAGGTGGCGCTCAGGTGGATCTCTCACCTGGCTGCGGCCATGACAGACTGACAGGTGACACCCAATCAGCAGAGGGGGAGGAGTTACTGCTCCATCCAGGTGTTGAGGAGGAGAGGTAGGTGGTGGGCGTGGTCAGAGCAGAGTGACCGTATGAGGATGGGAAAAGTGGGGGCGGGATATAAACAGAGGTCAGTGATTGACAGCCTGAGACGTCCAACCAGAGACAGGGACTGGCATCCTGGGTCATGACTGGTGATAGGAAGAGGATGTATGGGGGGGGGGGGGGGGGGGGGGGGCTAACCTGCAACGACCAAACAGATGATTTAGTACTTTGTACACAGTCACTGATGGTCTATACACAGTCTGTAGGTTCATACATTATTAACATTCCTCTTTGTGGGCAACACACACACATCATGCAAACATGCGGAAATTTGACCTCTGTGTTTAACAGATCACACACGGAACACACGGAACACAGTGACCACACGGAACACACGGAACACAGTGACCACACGGAACAGTGGGCAGCCATGAAGGCGCCCGGGGAGCAATTGGGGGGTTCGGTGCCGTGCTCAAGGGCACCTCGGCAGTGCCCAGGAGGTGAACTGGCACCTATCCAACTTCCGTCCATGCTGGACTTGAGCCGGCCACCCTCTGGTTCCTGAGCCAAGTCCCTATGGCCTGAGCCACTGCCCCCCCCCATCTGTACCCACCCATCTGAACTGTGTTCAACTCACAAGATCTCTACATGAAACAAAAACCTGTTTTTAAATCTGAAAAACATTTAACAAACCTGATGATGACGATGATGATGATGATGGTGACAGAGGATGAGGAGCAGCTCAGAGTCACTGTTGGTCGGATAAGAGAATGAGGAGGGGGAGAGGGAGAGGGAGGAAGTGTGGGAGGAGACAGACTCTGGTTCCTCCTCAGAATTCAACAAGTGGAACGACGTGAACTGATTTAAGTTGATTCTATTTTACTGTTCTATAGAAACTACCAGTGGAGTCGCCCTCTGCTGGTCAGCACAGACACTGAGTCTACGTTCATTCAGTTTGAACGATTCACAAACGTCAGAATCAAACCTCAGTTTTATTTGTAGAATTCCATCAGGTGCCATCAACAACATATTTGATCTGAAGCTTCTTCTCACATTGAGGCGGAAACATTAAAATATTACAGACAAACAGGAAGACATGTCCTATGTTACATCTATTGAATCGCAAACTTTATTTACAGTTGAAAATAAAGACGACATCTTTGAAACTGACAACAATAAATAACCATGTTTGTTAGTTCAGAGGCAGGAGGCGTGTCCCTGCAGCAGTGCAGGGTCTACCACGCTGTTCTGCAGGGGCAAGTCCACTGAGAAGTCAGTAGGCGGGGCCTGCAGGCGCTGCCGGGGGGGTCGGCCCCCCCTCTGAGGGATGGGCAGCTCTGAGTGGTGAGCAGGAAGTGGGGAGGAGAAGAAGTATGGATGGAGGAGGGCCTGCAGAGAGGATGAGAGCGAGATCAATACACAGATCGATTAATCCTTAAAGATCCAAGTGTCGGGATTGATTCCAGTATTTTCAGTTCACAGGGGTGAATGAGCGCTAATCTGCCCTCTAGTGGACAAATGTTGAAATGTTTGTTGCTCTAACAAACATCTCTCTCTGCAGTCGGAGCTGAATTGGTCAATTATTTGATCTGCTGTGAAATCAATGATCGGTTTTATTTGTTATTTGTCCTTCATCTTTAAGAACTGAGAAGCAGAGGTGGAAAGATCCTGACTTCTAGTTTCTAGTAAAGTTCTTACATTTCCCATGATGCAGTTCAACAGTGGACCTTCATTAATGTCAACATCAGACCACTGAGGGACCACGAACCATGAACTCAGCAGGTGTATTTTGTTTCTGTAATCTATTGTCAACAAATTCACCAAAACAGAAAGTAAAGGGGACCTCTGGTCGAACCCTGAGGAACTCCACCCGCTGCGTCTCACACACCTGAACGCCCTCTCTCTGTTTCCTACCTGTCTGGCCGAGCAGCGCTGTTTGGACGGATACACCAGGAACTTGTAGAGCAGGTCGATGGCCTGAGGGGACGTGTCAGGGACAATCTCCTCCAATGGGATCGCTGGATTCTCCTTGAAGGTGATTTTATTATAATCTGGTAACTCAACGATTTCCTGTAGAGACACAAAGAGCAGGAACGCCAACGCTCCGTGATTCTTTCTTATTGGTCACTAACACTGTATTTTATAAAATGGCATTTCACTTTTTAACAAAGACAAAAGGGGCAGGACATGTCTTACGGGCCAGCTGTCCTGCGTTGGCGTTCCCAGCACTCTGAGGACGCAGCACAGCTGTTCGATGTCGTTCTCTCCAGGAAACAGAGGAGACGAGTTCAGTAGCTCCCCGAAAATACAACCGACCGCCCTGAAACATAGTTGAACACATTCACAGTGACTTGTGTCAGGCTCCCGCTGAATCCAGCTGAAGATCCTCTGCTGTGTTCTCACATCGTCTCCTCTGGACTTTATACACAGAGTTCTTTAAACACGTGTTCTGTCTGACAGCAGCTTTTCACTCATGTATAACACGTTTTTGAGTATTACGATGAGAACTCATCAAAGTTTTCTCACCAAAGATCGACTCCCTCGTCGTACTTTCTGGCTCCGTACAGCAGCTCAGGAGCTCTGTACCACCTGAACACACACACACACACACACACACACACACACACACACACACACACACACACACACACACACACACACACACACACACAAGCATCTTTATTCAATGTTACTGAATCAGTGACAGTTTGTTGGGGAGAAGCTGCCTGCAATGAAGACTACAACTCCCATCATCCCTCACTGCCCTCACTTGAAGTTTGAGTGTGTTACCTGGTGGCCACCTGGTGGCTGTACAGTCTTTCTCCCTCCTCACTGAAGAGTCGGGCGAGACCGAAGTCTGCGATCTTCAGGTGCCCTGAGGAGCTGATGAGGAGGTTCGCTGGCTTCAGGTCCTACACACACACACACACACACAATCAGGGCTTTTATTCTGAAGGGCTACAGGGGTGAGACGCAGCTGCAGACCCCAGTTCTCACCCGGTGCATGATGTTGTTGTGATGCAGGAAGGCGACGCCCTTCAGCAGCATCATCATGTAACCTTTGACCTGCGCCGGGGTCAGAGGCCTCTGGGAGTTCTTGATGACCTCAGACAGGTCAGAGAGCATGAAGTCAAACACCAGGACGAAGCCGGTACCGTGAGGGAAGACGTCCTTCAGCTTCACCACCTGATGAAGAGGAGGAGGACGAAGAGTCATGTACAGTTGACCTCTGACCTCTGACCTGACCCTCCTCTGGTACTCACATGCTGGTTGTCCTCAATCTCCTGCAGAGCCCTGATCTCCCTCAGAGCCTGGTTAGGGATGCCGTCCTCCAGCCTCCTCAGAGCCACTTTCTTCAGAGCCACTGTCTCTCCTGTCTGACACACACACACACACACACTCTCAATACACTGACTGACTGACTTCCTGTTATATAATGTAATAGAACGAGCAGGTTCAGTGGATCAGACTCTGACCTCTCGACCTCTGACTCAGCTTCACTTCCTGTGTTCCTGAACCTCAGAGGTGGGGTTTGATTGGTCTGCGTGTTTCAGCTTTTAAAAGCACAACTGCATCACAGTGTTTAAAAACTAGTCAGGACGGAGCAGCATTAACGAGGAAGTCCTGAGGTCAAAGGTCACATCGATCACTAACTTTTTAAAACTTCAGTCACAGAGGGATTTTAACACTTGAACGCCTCCTCAGTGTCTGACGTCGTGTTTAAACTACTTGATTTTAAATAAAGGTTATTTTGTGATCTTCTAATCTGCTGAGGATTTTTTCAGTAAAACTTTTCGATCACAGTTCAAATGAAAAGTCAAAGGCGGCAGATCGATTATTTTCTCAAACTAACAAAGCAGATTTCCAAACTTGGTGGATCTTTGGAATGAAGCAGAACATTCTCATATTTCAGAATCTGTCGTCTGTGATGTTTGTGTCGAATGGATGAAGTCACCTCGACGTGTTTGGCCTTGAACACGATGCCATGAGCTCCTTCTCCGACCCGACCCAGGATGATGTACTGCTCCATGTCCTGCTCTCTGCTCCACAGGTCCAGATCCACTGAGATGTTCCTTTAGTGTGATTCTGCTGGAGTCCTCAGAGCATGTTGTCCTTCAGTGTTGTTTGTGTGTGTGTTTGTGTGTCTGTGTGAGTCTCTGCTGTCGTTTCCTGTTCATGAGCAGAAACAGAAAAACAGATGAACGTGAACTCTGTTCACAAATACGTTAATTTAATTATTCTTCTCTTCCAGACTCGTGACACAAACATTCACTGAACATGAATTCAGACGATTCACATTAAACCAAGCTGAGCTTTGAATCGGCTCAAACCACAACGACACAAAACGAACGAGTCAAAGACAAAATCTGCTTTTAAAGAGGAAACATAACGGAGCCAGCTAACGTTACCTTGGTAACCGACTGGCTAAGCTAAAGCTAACGATGCTAAGGCTTCAAACTCAACTTCCGCAGAAAACCGGAAGTTGACGTTTTTTAAATAAAACTTTATTAGAACTCACACTCGCTCCCGCGCAGCACGATTTAAACCCGAGATAAAGAAGCTAAAGTTAGCCACAGCGATGCTAACTGTCCGCCATGTTTGTTTACAGTGACGTCATCACAGCACCAGCTACAGAACCGGAGAAGATAGAACAGACACATGTAGAACAGACTCATGTAGAACAGAC